AGTGTTATGTTTTTAGACTTATTCAAAATGTGAAGTTCAGATTTAACTAAAAATATACATAGTTTTATTTCTTTTTTCACGTATCTTTTTTTTTTGGGTGGTTTATAATATTTATCCAATACCAAAATTGAAGGTCAATAATTAGTGGTGGTAAATTCACAGGTTTAATCTTTATCATAAGTATCTCCACTCTTTTCTTTCTTATCTTATTCTCATTCCAAAAATAAATAAAAAAATATTTTATGGCTCAATTATGTAAAAGAAAAGTCTAAAATAAATATACCTATGTATATATATATTAATTTGAGAAATAAAGATACATTATCTATCACAAAAATTTAAATAAATTGATAAGTATAATTTTCTCACAATAAATTTTAGGAAAAAAAGGTATGACATATTTTTTAATATTTGTTATTTAATTCTAATATACTTTTTAATATGTCAGTCACGTATATATGTCCTACTGTTATACAAATAACTTAATTATGTCTTTTTTTTAGCAAGTAAAGAAAATAACTTTAACATAATTTTTTATTAAGAAATCCATGTAGAGATATTTGATGGTTTTCATATGTATTTTTTAATTCGATGCTAATTTAAATTTATCATTTTAATGATCAATTTTTTCACTAATTTTTATATTAGAATTTATTATAGATACCCAAAGCCAAAAAAAATAGTTTAAAATGTTTTCTTAACTTTTTTTTCCTTCAGGCTTCTGTTCTTTTTCTTTTATTTTCACACTAAAGAAAAAAAAAGAAAAAAATTTAATAAGAATAAGAAACTCAAATAATCAAAAAATAATTCATGCATAAAAAAAAGATAAAATATGCTCTTGAAGGATTATACATATCTCTACACGAAATTTTTAAATAAAAAATAAAAAAGATAATTAAAATATATTTTTTTCACCCTTGTTAAATAAAAAATAATATATGTAAGTCACTTTTATAACGTATATATAAGTCAATTATGTAATGATGTGGATATATGTGAACTACTTGTATGATGAATTTTTTTTTAACTAAATAACAAAATTAAAGGGTACATCTGATTATTTTTCATAAATTATTTTCAAAATGTAATAAATATTGGCAATACATTTTTTCTCTCTTGCTTTATGATTTAACTTTTCCCATTTTTCATTTGCCAGTCCTTAATTAATGAAAATCATGTGTTTAATTCTCCCTTCCTCATTTAATCATTTATTAATATTATATAATTAAGTATCATTAATCATTAATAGAAGCATGAAAAAACTGTCCTGTTCAAACTTATATTGAGATCAAAATCAATTATTTCTTAGAACAGTATCTTTATTTGGACATATTCATTCACACAGTTTTATCTTTTGTTACAGGAACGAATATTTATTTTAGACTAAAGTCAGACAAGACAGATATAACAATATAATAATAATAATGATAAATAAATGACCACCGACAACTACTCTTAACTTTCAACACTTTTTTTAGTCTTGTACATGATATATCTATTTTAAAATCGGATACATATGTTGGATAACTAGCAAGAATTGATGAGAAATAGAGGGAAAGAGAACAATTTAAAAAGTTGAGAACTTGAAGAGTTGAAATTTGACTCTTATACTTTAATGAAAAGGCAATTGTCCCTTATCGGTAATGAAAATGCATAAACATTCTTATTAATTGTTAAAAAGGTTGGAAAGAGGGACCCCTCGCGCCGTCATCTCTCTCTTAGGCAATCGATCGAGAGATTATTTTTGGACAATTTATTTTATTTATTTATTTAATTAATTAAATGGCCAAAAAATATTTTCAATTAATTAGTTTGTCAGTTCCTCTCTCCCTTATATTCTCGCTCGCCACTCTCCCTCTCTCGCTCGCCCCTCTCGCTTTATACAATAGAATTGTATAAATTGTGTTCCTATTTGTATAAAACGAAAGAAAATTGTATATATACACATTCAAATACATATATCTCCATCCTATACACTTATAATTATACAATTAAATATTTTCCTGTCCAAGTCTCTTTTACCTTGCTCTCTTTCTCGTTTTATACAAATCCAAATTGTATATTATTTCTTTCTTTCTCGTTTTATACAATTCGATTCAATTGTATATTCCCTGCCCAAGTCTCTTTTATTTTTTTCTCTTTCTCATTTTATACAAATTCAAATTTTATATCATCCTATACACTTATAATTATACAATACAACAAGTAATCAATATTATAAACAAATGCCAATCTTTGTCGTTGAGAATTTCTAAAATAAAAGTTTTAGTATCATAATGTACCTTCTATTCAATGTTCACCTTTTCTCTTTTTCATCACCTCTTGCAATGTCTGCTTCAATTTTTTCTCCTCCTCTGAAAGAATAGGCTGGGTAAGTTAACAAAAAGATATAAGAATCACATATCTAACTACAAGGAAATAACAAACTAGGACAACCAGATAAAGTAACATATACATATTACAGCCAGCAATTAAAATTTTGTATTGATACAGCAGTTAACCAACCCGAGTCCTTAAAGTAGTACTCAAAGCATCATTCATTACATTATGCAGAATATTCTTTCTCGTTTTATACAATTCAATTCAATTGTATATTCGCAGCCCAAGTCTTTTTTATTTTTTTTCTCTTTCTTGTTTTATATAAATTCAAATTGTACATAATTTCCCTCTTTCTCATTTTATACAATTCGATTCAATTTTATATGTATAGCGAATTATGCATATATATGTTTGCTATGAAGCGCAATTATGCAAACTTTGCTATAGCATACAAATATGAATTTTGTGTTTGCTATATGTGAAAGTTGCCCATATAAAATTATCACAATCAACACATTACTGTAAAATTGAAGGAAATAAATACAAAACCTATTCTGCTAATTTTTATCTTTGACATTCTCAATATATGATACTCTCATCGTCCACAATTATTTGTTAGAGAGTAAGGTCATGCACTCTCCTAAAAAAAAATTAATACAAGGTATAATTTAACTAATATAACTTTACTATACTAAGAATATAAAAAATTTACATAACTTATTAATTGAACAAAATAAAGTAACTATTAAGGACATAATTAGTTATTTATTTTTAGTATACCTGCAAAATAATCGCGGACGAAAGAAGTACAATCTATTTTCTTTTATTATTTATTGGAAAAGTAAGCAGAACATGGCAAATAGCCCAACTAAACAAAGTGTTGGCCGGTATTTGGGGGTGAGTTTAATATAAAATCTAATTAGATATGATATCATACAAAAATTTTGGGATAGAATTTGACTTTCATTTATATTAAAAGATATTTTCAAATTTGATTCATGAAAATGAATCAAGGCTCTACTTATAGGAGACATGTTGAGAATATAACTAACTATTAAAAAATATTTTTTCTCTAACACTTTAAATTTTTAGATGAAATGATCATATATTTGAATAGTTTATTTAAGTAAATCAAAGGGAATTAGTTTTTTCCAGTTATACCCTTATGACTTTGTCATTAAGTTAAAGTAATTATTTCTCAAACTACGTGTAATATTTGTAGTCAAAACTTGAGAATTTTCAAAGTAGAATTAACAAGAATAATTTAATTAAAATACTTAATAAGTTAACTTATTCCTTCTTTAAGGGGAAGTGTTGAAATTTGTCACCTAAAATAAGTCATTAACGTTTAGAGTGGATATAAAATATACAACTAAGCATAAAATAAATATTTTAAAGTTAAATTGTTACTAAATATAAAAATGTGTCATTGTATTTTAAACGGACTAAAAAAAGTTATATAAATTGGGATTTTCTTTAATAGTTAAACATTATTATTTTTTAAAAGGTTAGTACGTCAATAATGTAAACCAGTAGTTCAACTATCTAACTACTACGACTACTACTCATTATCTGGGTTTTGTTACAAAAATAATAAATAAGGTGTGTTTCAAATAGCGTGTTGTAATTTTGTCAGATGAAATATATCACAAGTAACATCTTTGGTACTGTATATCAAGTTTTTAAATATTTTTTTAAAAGAAGAAGTATGAGACGGATTATGGTTTGGGCCAAATATTTATAATGTAAGTTCTGAACCGTATTTTTACAATACAAGTCATATAATCGTAAATATTTCGCTATACTAATCGCAGAATTTCAGACAAACGACACTACTATAACGAGATTTAACCGTATATATTGATCATTAGATCCAGCCAATAAATGCAAGACAATCATAACGATTAAAAAAATGTTTAGATTAAATGTTGAGACTCCCAGATTTAACATTTTAATATTTTCTAATTTCCTTGTCCCCAGGCTAGTTATAGACATTGAAAGATTATTAAGCAATTTTGTTGCAAAATTATAGTAAAAAAATGTTGATTGTTTAACGCATGATTTCTCAAACTTGAGCTAAACGCAATCAAATGAACTAGTGCCAATATGTTATGCACCAAACCAAAATTTGATTTGTATAAGGAGACAACCTATCTTATAAATCATTAATATAGACTTTTTTCATTCTTACTCTACCTCACATTCAGAGTTGAACATTTGGCATTTGGGCGCTCAACACCGGTTAGATGGATTCTGTTCTGATATCATGTAAAATTAAATTTTGAACCTAACTCACGCCCTAAAAACTAACTCAAAAATAGAAAGATTGTTCAAGCCTTGTTGAAGAGAGACTGGTCATCTCATTAACCACCAGTATAAGACTTTTTCATTCTTTTTTGAAGTTGAAAGATAAAGATGGGAATGAAATAAAGTAGATATCTGAAAAATGTTTTGGAAAGTAGCATTAGATTCCAACACAAGCATTTCTTGGATGAAGATATTTAGGTGGTGGAAAATATATGATACCAGATAGAATAGGACAGATCAATTAAAAAACAATTCTCTCAATATGCTAAAGAATGCAATATAAAGTCTTTGTCAAATGTAATTATTTTTAGTTTCACATAACTATGTTCACACACTCATCTTATCTTAATATTCACATTTTTGCAACACTCATCTTTGAGTAAAAGGTTTCAACATTCATCCTCATAAAAGAACTATTCACAAAAATGTGCTCCAACTTTATATCATACAAAATAGTTAAATATGAATATAAGGATTGGACATTACTTTTTCTTTATATAATAATGCTAAGTTGAACTACTGTTATGCAAATAGCCCCACATAATAGTGGGTTGCAAGCTGTCTAAAATAGTTTGTGAAGCATGGTTCCAAAGCTTGTTTTTTGGATCACGGGAAGCAGGAACTGTTTTACTGACATTTAACTTTACTCAGTATCTTCCTTGTCACGTGGTGCTGCATCCCAACAAACACATGCATATCTATAAGTAGTGACAAAGAGGCATGTGGCCTAGTCGTAAATGAGGTGGATGAAAATCACGGTAGATCAGAGGGTTCAAATTTCAACAGAGAAAAATATGGCATGTAGTTATACCCATCTACCTAAGCCTTAGTGGGACATAACAACTATCCGATGGAATTGGCAATCTAGTAAGTTAGCCCAAAAAAACCACGATTATGCCAAAACAGAAAAAAGAAATTTGCAATTTCAAGATCATCATCCAAGTGTTTTATATACTCCATTGCACATAAACCAAATCTGCATTTATTTGCAGCAATTTTATCCTTCTCAAGAAATGTATAAAGTAGTAAGTGTACCAGTTCTTTATTGCAGACTGAAGAAGAGCAAATTTCACTGCGAGTGAGTAACTCAAGCGTAGGGGGCAATGGACAATCCACCAATGCCATATATCATCTGGAAAAGGGTTAATCTGCTAGGCATCCACTTGAAATTTCAATAATCTTAAAATTAAGTATATGTCTAGACATTCTCAATATCACTCAACTTCACAAGCCTACATAAAGAAAAGAAAAACTTGGATTCTGAGCAATGAACTAGAACCTGGCATGGAGCTTTGTAACATTAGCCTAGGCAGTTAGTCTTTTGAAGCACCAGTGGACTCCTGTGAAGCTCCAACAGTGGCCTTGAGAGCCGAAAGATAATCCTGGTGTATTCAGCAGCTAAGCAACATGATAATACTTGAGCAGAAGTGTGTGATGTAATGTAACTATTTATATCTATCAATGTCATCACCCCTGAAGGAATAACAGATATTACAAATTACAGATACTGTAATTTATTTTTCCCGCTAAAGTCATGTTTGAGGGACGTTGAGAGGTTAATCACCTGATACTCACATTATCGATATTTAAACAAGATTCAGACACAAATTAAAGGTCAGTTATGATGAACCATAGAAAACTCTATTCAGGTTATTGATTACATCAAGAAGTAAGTCTTATTACTGACGCAATGGATTGCTATTTGAAAATTCTTTCAGCATAAAATAGCTAATTTAAGAACATGAACTATATATGAGTTAGGGTTTTAAGAATAAACACTGTACATATCCTGCATGTTTCATGTTCCGCTGGCAGATATAAGAAATACTCTTTTGGAGTAGCTGCTCCACTTGTTGTATTTCTTGATGTCAGTTTGTGATTCTGTACTACACAATGCCACATCAACTGTTCTGACTATACATCCATTTGTTTCTTCTCTTATAGTTTTCTGAATGACATTGTCCGTCTCTGTATCCACTGAAGCAGTAGCTTCATCAAGTACCAATATTCGCCTTTTCAGTAGCAACACCCTAGCTAGGCACACAATCTGCCTTTGACCCACACTCATGTTTTCTCCGTCTTCTGCGACTGCAACATAAAATTCTTGATCATTAATATGAAGATCATTGTTCCCTTTCCAAATATTGTGTATTTTGAATATAAAGGTGGGTCCAGACAACAGAATCTAGTATTTGTACCTGGTGCATCAAGAAGCCTCTTAGATCCTACTTTACAATATCAGCTAAATGACATTTTTGCAAGACCTGAAATATGAAATCATTCTTATAGTAAGTTACAAAGTCATGTGAGATTGCTCAAAATACAAAATAGTATATCTTAGTAAGTAAAAAGATCGCAAAATGTTTTGAGGTTGAAAACAATGTTTGAAGAAAAGATGCTCAAAGGAATAAGTACATAAATTTCTTCAGTAATTGAATTATTTATAATGTTTTCACTTGTTAAACCTAAACCTAGTCTAACCTAAACCTAGTCTACCAGAATACTTGGGATGGCCATGACAGCAGGCAGCCAGCTACAACCGGTGGCTGGTTTTTCTTCCATGAACAATTGCATAGCAGCCCTTCATAATACTACAAACCCAGAAAAATTAGAACCCATTGTGCTAAAACCTATCAAGTATTTGCACGGAGAACCCACCATCACATGGACAAAGAAAGAATTTGATCGATTTTGTATGAAGCAAAATTTACAATATGCAGTAGTGGCAAAATTCTCATACGATAGACCTGACTTTCAGTCGCTGAGGAAGAATATGTCAACACAGTTGGAGATCAAAGGAGCATGCGACATCAGATATCTTGAAGATCGTCTTGATTAGATTAACTTTACTAGAAGAATATGCTGCATTAACGTCTAGAGCGTGGGAGTTACATGTTCAAAATAGGAATTTTCCTATAAGATTGATCACTTACCAAAATATTGTACTCATTGTAGACTACAGGGTCATGATATGACAGGGTGTTGGAGTATTCACTCTGAATTTAGACCAAAGAAGGAGAGTAAAGAGACAGGAGAATAAAGTACAGAATGAAAACAAGGCTAATGCAGGTGGGCAACAACTTAATACACCTCCAAAAGATAAAGGGAAAGAAAAGAAAGTTGAGGAACCAAAACAGCCACCAACATAGACCACGAAAATTGGCAGAACCGGAGGCATAATAACTGGCGGGTGATACAATATAAAAAGAATAGAGATAACAACAGTAAATATATTCACGGGGAAAGGGTACAAAAGAATAGGCAAAACACAGATAACCACGACAATGAATAAATCAGGAGAAGGTTCGACATAGCTTAAGAAAAAATTAGAAGCATCCAACACAAAATAAGAACTATGACTCCTGCAAAGTATATTTTCAGCTGATACTTGTTTAATGTGTAGTATTAGAGTCTTCGGGTGCTCATTCTATTGAACAAAAAATAGTTGAACAAAGTATGATGTAAAAAGACACAAAGGAAAATGGATGGCGTACATCTAAAATCGAAGCTACAAGGAATGGAACAGCAAATAAAAGGAAATCTAGTTTCAACTTACCAGGATGAGGTCAGAGGCATCTAAAAATTCCAACTGGTCAGTGGCATAAACAACTGGTTTTTCATGTAGAAGTTGGATTAAGCGTTTCTGTAATATGATAGAGGTTGTTGCACATCAATAACAGCAACAAGATTACTGAAATGAATTCTACAAAAGTAGGATGTAGTACTTGCCTTGAACATATGAGCTCCAGTTTGTGCACCAACAGCAAGGGTCATCTAGCAGGTAAATGTCTGATCACTATGAATAGCTCAGGCCAACTGAGTTCTTTGTTTTTGTCCACCACTTACGTTCATTCTTACTCCTACCAAATTTAGATCTCCGTTAGCCCACATCTCAATGTCACGCTTCAAAGCACATTGTTCCAAGCGCTATGTACCAAACCAGAGCAATCACTGCAACCACTAATACAAGATTTCAGTGTTATGCCAGATCAAGAATCAACATTTCAAATTCAACAATCTGTTGAAAGCTGCAGGCACGCAAGAACAGAAACTTGTTACTGGGTATATGAATCATCAAATTAGTTCCCATGAAATGTTCATGCGGCCTTCATTTTCTTCATGAACAATTCAATCTTATCGGCAGCCTCATACATATTCTTTTGTTTAATTTCCTGCAGCAGAACACTGCATGTCTTGTATCGAGGAGTAATCTCTTTGCGGACCATATCCTCAAAAATAAGATACGCCCATTCACATTTATTTGCCCTGCATAAACCATGGATAAGAAGTGCATAACTTGACAGGTCAAGACTTAGATGATGCTTATAGACAATGTCATTCAACAATTTTTTCAGGAACTCATCCGTCTTTCCAACTTTAAAGGCCAACTTGAGAAGCGGAAAGTATGACTGTACTTCAGGTTTAAAAAATGGTGAACTTTCCAGATCCCTTAAAAATTCTTCCGCACTTTCCTCTTGCAAATGATGGCAAAACATGGCAATTATAGTATTGTAAGTCGATGTATTGGGTTGAACACCATTTCTGGGCATTTCAACCTTCAAAACACGAGTAGCTTCTTGTAGTCGGTGTGACATGCCTAAAGTATGAATCAGAGCATTGTAAAAAAGTGTATCAGGTTTACAGCCAATTGATTTCATCCTCTCAGTAATCTTAAGGGCTTCCTCAAATGCCCCAGACTTTGTCAAGAAACACATGATGGTGGTGAAAGTAACAACATTTGGTACACATCCTTCTCCTTGCATTTCATCAAGTAGCTCATAGACCTTCTGGAAGTTAAATTGTTGGCAGTATGACTTGATGATGGTTGAGTAGCTGATGATGCAAGGAGAACAACCTCTGCCTTTCATCTCCTGAATTGTCCAGTACGCTTCTTCTACCCGATTAACTTTGCACCAACCATGAATAAAAATGTTAAATGTGTTCGCATTTGGTGGGATATGCAACTTGAGCTCGTAGAAGATTTCACGCGCCTGTTGGACTCTATTTTCTTTGCACAGAGTGTCAAGTAACAAATTCATTGACTCTGTATTCTTCTTCAAACCAAATTTTCCCAACTCATCAAATGTCCTCACTGCTTCTTTCCATTCGCGTGCACCTGCAAACCTTCTCATAACTTTTGCTATTGTATTAAGAGAAATAAGATGGTCTGCATGCATTTCATCTAACAATGAACGCATCTTTTCCATTTTCTTCATCTTTCCCAGTATATCCACCAACTTATCGTACAATTCCGGTGAGGGCTTGTAGTTGGGACGTGATTGTGCCCATCTAAAAGCACCAAGTGCGGACTTCCAATCATCTTTGAATCGATAAAGAACCCTATTAACAAAGTTGTCAGTGATCTGTAAGGAATCACAAGCCGGGTCAGAGAGCAAAGACTGGAGAACCTCATCTTCACTAGTTCCAGGACTTATTCTATCAAGTACAATATTAACATCAGCATCACTTTCCAAGTTCACACATTTCTGCTGCTCACCAGGAGTTCTATCACCAACAAACTGAGGACTTTCACAACAAAAATCACTAGACAAGGTGGAAAATTGGTTAAACCAACTTGTACAGGCTACATTGGAACTGTTACAAACCCGAAATGGGTGAAAAACCGTGGTTAGTTTTCTAATATAGAAGTTCATGAGACTAGTATCAGTACCACACAACAAGACAACAATAGAAACTATGACTTAAACCCAAACTAGTTGGTGCCGACCAATAACAAATACGGCATGTAAGTATTTATCGTTCCTGCATTTACACATTGTAAATAAAATCAGCACTTCAACAGTTATACTAATAGCAAAGGAGATAAAATTATGAGAACTTAGAAGAAAATAAACATATTTTAGCATCATTTCTTTCCAAATTTAAGACCTAGTTCAATTGAACTGGATTTTCCATAAAATTTCAGCACATGCCTTAGAATGAACTTACACTGGTTTGCTGATTCTCGAATCAAAACAAACAGAACCTAATTAAGAAGTGATAAAAAACAAAACGGAGGAAATTTTCCGGCGAATTACCTGTGGTTCTAATCCTTGTCGCCGGATGTTTAGCAACTTTGCATCGGGAATTGCGGCAGTTTTTGGTAGGTTAAACTACCACCGGATCTTCTTGGGCCCTTTTCTTCATTGTTCCTCTCTTCTTTGAACAACCCAAATTTCAGACGGCCCATTTACGTCTTGATAATTTGCATAAATGTTCATTTTTTGGCTAGTCTTTAGTTTTTGTCCTTAAAATTGATGGTTTTTTATTTGGGCAACTTTCTTATATAGCAAATAAAAAATTCATATTTGTATGCTATAGCAAAATTTATATAATTGTGCTTCATAGTAAACATAGAAACTGTATAATTGACTATACATATACAGTTGAAGTAAATTGTATAAAACAAGAAAGAGAAAGACACTTGAACAGAGAACTGTATAAAAATGAAGTGTATAAAACGAATTGTATTATTATAAGTGTTTAGAACGATTATATACAATTTGAATTTGTATAAAATGAGAAAGAGAGAAAGACAAAAGAGACTTGACAAGGAATATACAATTGAATTGAATTGTATAAAACGAGAAAGAGAGAAATTAGATACAATTTGAAAATTGTATAAAACGAGAAAGAGAGAAAGGCAAAAGAAACTGGGCAAGGGAATAATTTTTATTGTATAATTATAAGTGTATACGACGAAAATATATGTCCTTGCATATGTATATACAATTTTCTCACGCTTTATACAAACAGAACGCAATTTATACATTTCGCTTCTGTTTGTATAAGTGAGAAAGGCGAGGGTGGCGAGCGAGTTTTGGGAGAGTGGCGAGCGAGATTTGGGAGAGTGGCGAGCGAGATCTGGAAGAGGGGAGAGAGGGGAACAAAAATGTATGTATTTATACAATTTTCTCTGTTTTATACAATTAGAAACAATTTTTATACACTTGTGTTTGTATAAAAAGTGAGGAAGCGAGCGAGAGATTTGAGGAGATTGGCGAGCGAGATATTTGGGAGAGAGGCGCCTGACAATTTTTTGCAAACATTTGCTATGAAACACAATTAAATCAAACCCTAGCTACTCCATTTATTTTAGATTATTAGTTTGCTATTATATACAATTTTTCATTTTAATTTTCATTCTTCAAAAATTAGACATAAGTTTAGTCTTTAATTTTCATTCTTCAAATAGTAATACAAGCTATGCCCCACAATATGTATGAGTTAATACCCAAAATATAATAATTATGTAGGAAGACAAAAGGAATTAAGTTTTGGGCACATAAATTTAGTGGCAAACTTAAGTGATACAAGTTATGTCATAGGGGCAAAAGTTTAATGATACAAATTATGCATATAAATTCAGTAGCACAAGTTATGTCACATAATATAAGTTCAAGATAATTTTTTTCTAAAAATTTTACCCTTTGATTCAAATACTATAGAACTTATTCTCAATGCAACATTCTCTAAAAGCTTTTCTCTTGCAATATTAGTTTTGTCCAATAAAATTAGGCTATAATTAAAGATATTGACTCATAAATTTTCAATAAGTAGTAAGAGAAAAAAAATAATGAAAAAAAATAAAAATTTGATGAATAAAAATTAAAGATTACCTCTAAAATTGGGACAATTCTTTCAAATTATCTGTTTGGATTATTGTCACCCATTGTTTCATAATATATTGTATTATATTGTATGATAGATACAATGTTTGACTAGGCATATTGTTTGTTTTTGTTTTAATAACATTTTTATTGTTTGGTTTAACTATATCATACTGAATTGTTATCTATAAATTTACACAAGTGTTCTTAATTATTCTAGGGCAGGAGAAATTAAATAATATAGGGTAAAAGATAAAATAGTGTTATGAAATATTAAGTACGAATATAATTGAAAAAAAAATAAAGAAGGGAACGCCCAAATAGTGTGTTCCATAAAATGAAAGTTTTCATGGCTATGCAACAACAAAAGTCAGCAATACAATATAATACATTTTAAGTAACAATCAAAACAAACTTTTTATATATAATAAAAATACAATACAATATAACGGGTAACAATGAGTCAATGATCCAAACAGGAAATTTAACTAGCCAAGCCAAGACTGCAACTCAAGGATAACAAAAGGCAAAAAAAATTAATAAATGATAGTCTGATACTGGAAAAAGTGAAGTTTGATGCATTCATGACAAAAGTTGATAGTAAACAAACAACACAAAATTCCTCAAAGATAAACATTGTTCTTCTCTAGTTATTCCATTACCACTTAAACAAGAAAAACACTCCCGGTCCAGAAAATTAATACTCCAATGATTCAAGCAAAAACTAAATGGATTGACGGTTACTCCAAGCAGCAAAGCCTCGAGCAACGGAAGCCATATGGCAGATCAAGTCAATCACACAGGAGCTGCACAGACAAACATATACAGATTTCGTGTTAAACATACAAAAATTGGCATTTGCTAAGGAAGGTTCAGAAGTGTAAAGGGAAGTTAAAAGCACAGATTACCTAAAACCTCATTCATTGTCATACCATGTCACAACCTTCACAAAATTCTTGCTAAAAGCAATTCCAGCCTTGGCATGGGAAATGCTTGACCTACACCAAAAGTTACATTTCACATTAAACTAAATGCAATT